ATTTTATCGGGCTTTCTGTCAACTGTCAGCCACTTCAGCGCAGCTTGAGCTTGTGAGGCAGCTCCTGAGCCAACTCCAGATCGTTCAGATATCTCGAGACGTATCTTTGGCGAGTCACTTTTGGCGTTTGACATGTCGCTTATGTTGTGGTGGCCTGCTTAGAGTGCGTTCGTTGTCAAAGTCCTGTCAGATTTGTGTCAGCCGTCTGAGATCGGCCAAGTGAGCGTTCTCCCTTTGGCACATTGCACATACGCCCTGTGGACGGGGCGGAAAAGAAGGCGCCTTAATTAATATTGATGCCGCATTAACAATGCGGTATTTTCGGCTCCTGATTAAATCTGACTGATGATTTTTGATGGGCAAAACGAAAGCGAAAACAAGAACGCAACAAAACGCTTTTGTTCGAGGCACTGGCTTAATTAAGAAGCGAGCTTGCTCCAACAATTGCTCATTGTTGATATTTAAGGCTTAATTACGGGGAAGGCCAAGTTGGTTCGCTCGAAAGTTTTTCAGTGTCCTGAACTGCAATTGTTTTGCCGGCTCTTTGTCCAGAGACAATCCCCGCCCCAGTCCAGATTCTTGAAACGTTTTCCTAATCAGCACAGAGTGCTCGGTCGAAGGAAGTAACCCCTCCACGCCGGCACTAAACTTGACTGTTTGGCTTGGCCTTAGCAATGCATGGCCCGAAAGACACATTCGGATAGTCCCGGATCTGAAAGTCAGTCTGGCTGGCTCGTCAAGTTGTCACATTCACGTTGACAGCAGCCGGTTAGACACTGGTTTCCTCTATATCCTGGATAAGAATGCCCGTTGCTATTTGACCCTTGCTTCACTGGGAGAAAAATGTACTACAAGTAAATAAGGGGGAGAATTAAGCTTTAATGTAAGCTTTATGTTTGCAAGAGTATGAGATAACTATTAAATGTGATTGCATACATTTACTGGCTATAGTCTGGTTACAAAATTGATTGCAAACATTAAAAGATAGACTTTATTTATACCAACGAAGTTATTATTAGCTTAAAAGTACAATAAAATACGTGGTCCTTTTCATTTATCTGAATTAATTTTATAATACATATTTTTACCCATTATCTAAGTGGTATTCACCATTTTTTATTTGTTATTTTCATGCAATTTGCTGTCAGTGCTGTCTTTGTTGGATGAGCAAAGTATGAGAGAAGAGTTCATTACACAGAAAGCATTTTTATTTCGCTTTTGGCTGCCGCATTATGGTTGCCGCCTGGGTTCTGGCTTCTGATGTGGCTTATTTCGGTTCTTCATTGCTACTTCACCTTATGAACAGTTGAAGAAACTGTGCACTTCAACCGACACAAAGAAGTGATTTTCAACTAAGGCCTAGTCAATCAGTTAGACATTAACAAAATAGAAAACATCATACACCAGACAACATGTGAATGTGCGGAGCAGATTTATTTGTATACAAACTTAAAGCATTTATTCGAACAAGCTATTATAATGTCTGCTTTCTTCAATTATGGATTTAGAGCTTAGTAAAAATTCACTGAATTGCGTGTGCCTTTGCCTGATAGGTGGCGTAATTACGTAGTGAACTGCATACCTGCAAAACCAATGAGCGTAAGCTTAACATTTTCAATGGCGTGCAAAGCAAGCGGAAGGCAACTTATTGTGTTGCACACACACACAAAAGGAAAAGCCGCGAGGAAAATGAGTTCCCAAGTGGACGACGAACGACCGTGCGGCAAAGTAGAGGTCCTGGTGGGCAGACACGAGTGTCGGTAAGAGATAGTAAAACTTACAAGCAAAATGAAAATACAATCGCTGGACGTGCTCTTAACGTGCGCATAACAGCCAGCCGACTTTCAGGAGATGGGAGTAGCAAACAAAAGGCAAGGCAAGGATTGTCTCAAATGAAGCGCACTGGGTGGACTACAAAAGCTTTCTTCGATATTAGCGCATGCCTGGCATTGTTCCTGTAGATGCAGCAGGAGCAACAGCATCATCGCCGGTTTACACACTGCGTATACGCAATGCACGTGCAACAAAAGGAAATTGTTCCTGTGCACTCTGCCATCGAATTTCAATTAACAAAATCATCCTAATGCCGGCTTGCCTTCACAATAGTTATCTGCCAGGTTGACCCAAGCAGGCGCATGCAGCTGATGCATAACCATGGCCCTGAGCTCAGGCTGAGCTCATCCGTATCCTGCCTGGCTGAAAGGAGCTAGCAGTTGTGCGGTGTTGACATTAAAGTAAATAAAGCAATTTTAAAGGAGAATACTTGGCTGACTTTAAAATCTATAAGCTTAAAGCTTAAACTATTTCAAATTATGCACAAAAAGTACATCATTGCTTCGTTCTGAGCTGTCAATACTTAAATAACATTATGTAGAGCCCCACGGAAGGTGTAGATTAATATTTTTAAATAAAAACATTTAAGGACCAAGTAACAAGTTGCAAAATAAATCATTTTTGCAGACAATTGCTTCGTCTATTCGTTTACCAGTTTTTATTTTAGGGCACTTCTCAATTACACAACCTCGCTCACTAATTTTGGTTGGTGAAAAAGGAAAGTTGCCGACTAACTAATTGCACACAATTTTGCACAAGCTCCAATTCCTACAAAATAAAGCAGCTACCTACACATTTTTAGTTGGCTCTATTTCGCCCGCACACAAGGATGCCAGCATCCTTGTAGCAACAACAATTAGAGACAGGATCACGTTTATAGCAACAGCATTTTATTAAAATGCTGGAGTCGCAGTGGCAACAAATGAGATAGAGTAGCGCGTTTTTAATTTGTGCAACAACGAAGGTGCAAGAGAGTGGGTTTGGGGGTATATACGGCATGCCAGCCACATTGCACGGCACCCGAAAAACAGAGCAATGCGGCGTATACTTAACAACGACTGGCAACAGGACCAAAAAACTGGCAAGTACGTGTTGCCATAAGTGTTACGTGAGTGTGTGTTTGGTGTTACGTGGGTGTGTGCTCGTGGTGGGTGTGTGTGCGAAGGGTTCGAGAGTGTGCGGATGACTGTGACCCAAAATCATTAGCAATATGAGCAGCCGTTTGTATTAAAAACAAAACCAGAGCTAAGGGGAATGGGCTGTGATATGCAAAAAGTTCACCGAAGTATTAGGTTGGGAATAGTGCTGCTGATACTCTGTAAATGTAAATTAATATGCTAAGTGTATATGTTATTGAAATTCAAAGAAGGATTTCCACCATATTATTATTATATTTATTACTTTCTATTTTAACAAAACGCTTTTGTTGAATCTTATATTAATTTTTGCATTTCTTGTTTCGGCACAATTTAAAGTTTAATTAATATTGTTAGACAAGTTCTTAGGGGCAATGTAAGCTACATAATCAAACCTTTATGTTTTGTTTGTCTTAGAATAGCTCAATATACCTCAAATATCCTTTAACCTTTTATTTTTGGTGGCATGTGTGTGCCGGGCAAAAGGTTAAATTAAATGGCTAAATGATAAGCATTTGGGTTAAATTGCTCAGCCTGGCAAGCTGAAGAACACAAAACGAGAATATATGGCAAGCTGAGGGGAATCGTGCCCCTTTTTTCTGGCTTGAATGGAATGCGTACAGTCGCTTCTAATGTTTTTAATAGCAAAAGTTATAATGAATTTGTTAAAGAGCAAAGCAGCTGTGGTGGGGGAGTTTCAGTCCTGATTGTTTAACGTTCTGTTTGCATTTGCCTTTATTTCCCCATCCCTCTGTTTTTTTTGTTTTTTTTTTTTTGAAAATTTTGTTAAGCTCTCCCATTGAAATTATTGTGTGTTTTTTGGTTTGTTAGGTAATCAGAAGCGACGAGCTTAATTTTTATTTTTAGTGAGCTCCGCTTTTGCGGTTAACCCGATGTCGGGGCTGTCAGCATTTTATGTTTATGTGTGCTGCGCATTTTAAGCAACTTTTTCCTTTTATGTATTGCTGTGTTTGACTTTTATTTTAATCACGCAAAATATTGTGCAAATATTTAATTATGGGCTTGTTAACATTATTTGTGCGGGACCATAATGTGACCAAAGCCTACTGTCTGAATACAGATTAAAGTCGTCCTTGGGAATTGTCATCATTATTGCGACTAGAAATGGCCTTTACTTCGTGACAGAAAATAACCGCCTTTCTGTTATATTAATTGGTTAGCAAAATTTTCTTTATCGGAAGAGAAATTTAGGCCTCTGAGGATTGCATCTTTATTGTAAAATCTCTCAAGGCAAAGCTGGCAATAATCAATTTTCAGTCTCGGTTGATGCAGTTATCTCGCTTGGTTTCATCACCAAAAACAACTATTCAAAGTTTTTTTTTTGCTAAGAACTGAATGGCAAACAAGGTCTTAGGGCGTATTCAACCCAACTTCCGTAGTCCGAGAGATGACAGTTTTTTCATCGGCCTCTCGAGCAAACAACTCGTTAGGCTAATGAAATTTCTTGTGCCTTGGCCAAGATTTGCGGTGGGGTGTCGATGGCCCGCAGCTTATCACAGCTACCGCATCGACGGGCAGCATGCAAAATTCAATTTTCCAACACTAATTGAATGGTTTATTTTGACAAGGTGGCCCCATGTTAGCTGATAGCCCCAAAGGGTTTGCCGCAAATACAAACCCACACACGGACACTCGAGCTCACGAGCACTCGCACAGGTGAGTGCAAAATTGGAGCAACAAAATTCGCCCTGCTGCATGTTGTTTGTGGTAAATTTATAGCCAGGATAACGCGTGGCCCCTGCAGCTCTTTTAATGCCAAAAATGAAAGTTTTAAATGAAATTTACTGAACCAAACAATTAAAGTAAATCTATAAACATATAAATATATGTTAGTATATTTTTGTGATTCTTTCTGGGCTACATATTTACTGGATTAGATAGAGTGAGGTTTTCTTTTAGCAAATTAACATTTTTATAGCCATAAATATATATGTAGCATTTTCAAGCGACTTAAAATTGTATTAATTTTTATTAATTTAGCTTGTTTAAAATTAAAATTGTAAGTCAATATTAGGGAAAAGGAACCAGTTTATTTAAAATTTATTTAAGAGGGGGTCAGGGTTATTTTTTAAAGCAGCACCTGCAGGTCTTCTCGGCCTTGAACCAGTACACCACTTGGTGTCTATACTGTTCGCCAGGCTCCAGATTGATCGAGGGGAAGTCCGGGTGATTCATGGCATCGGGAAACTTCTCCGTCTCCACACAGAAGGAGCCGTGCTTCACATACCGAGCACCCTTCTTGCCCGAGATGGTGGTCATGTTGTTGGCAGTGTAGAACTGCATGCCGGGCTGGTCGGTCCACACCTCCATCGCTCGGCCACTGGGCGGATGCACAATCTTGGCCACCTTGACGATGGCTCTCTGTACCCGACCTCCGTTCACCACGAAGCAGTTGTCGAAGCCCTGGATCAATCGATCCTCGAACTGCTTCAGTCGATCGCCTAGCAGAACGGGCGACCTGAGGTCGAAGACTGTGTCTGCCACCACGTTCAAGTTGCCTGTGGGGATCTGCCAATTGTCCGTGTCCACGATCTCACTGGAGGCAATCTCCACGGTGTGCTCCGCCAGACCTTTGGCCCCGGAGGCGTGGCCAGCCAGGTTGTAGTAGGCGTGGCTCGAGAGATTGACCACCGTCTGGCGATCGGTGGTGGCCTCAAAAGTGATCGACAGCCGGTTCTCGTTGTCCAGCCGGTAGGTGACCAGACAGGTCAGCGTGCCCGGATAGCCTTCGTGGCCATGGGCCGAGTCGTGGCGGAAGACCACGCCCTCGGCCGATTTCTGCACTACTTCCCAGATGACGCTGTCGAAACCCACGAATCCGCCGTGCAGCTGGAAATTGTCCTGGAATAGAGGCATTGATTTTTATTTACAATAGTGTTTTTGAATTATAGGTGCCTTCAAATTGATAGTCGGCCTAATGAGCAAAGAAAGCTCTATGCCCTTGTAAAATAATAGTAAACAATCCATTGGTTACTTGCGTGATTAGCATTAATCATTTAAGTAGAAACAAAAACTTTTTGGGAAAACAAAAAAACAAGAACAAACGCTATGCTAAACAATTTCTTGCGGACATGACAATTGAAAAAAATATATATAAAATTATCCCCAAAAACTGGCTTTGTGTTTTTAACCTTATCATTTACCTGGATGTTCTTAGACAGCTTGATCGTAGTTTCGTCCACGGAATACTCGCCGTTGGCCACCCGGTTTGCCACACGTCCGAGGGTTCCGCCGATGTAGGCCCCCTTATTGGCCACATAACCGGCGACGTCGTCGAAGCCCAGGCACACGTCCTCCGTCTTCTTGGAGTCGTCGGGCAGACAGACGCTCTGGATACTGGCCCCCAGCTGGATGACCGACACGGACATGCCCTTGGTGTTCTTCAGCGTGTAGCAGCGCACCATTTCGCGGGACTCGGTTAGAGGGTTTACGGCCAGGCCGAAGTTTTTCTCCTCTACGGTGATCGACATTTTGGTGTCCCCTTCCCTGACTCCTTACCTTAAAGATACTTGACAGCAACTGCATCGACAGTTTGACTAAAAAATTTTATTAAATTCTACGAACCAACATTTGACATATGCCAAGTAGACTGATTTGGCTTAATTCTTTTAGACGTAAGTTCTGCTTAATTTAAAGTAGCTATCCTTCAGGCAATGTCATAAGGTCTTGAGTGTGAGATAAAAGTTAATGACTACTGATATTTAGAAGGCAGAATTTGTTATTCTTAGTGACCAGCATTGTTCATTGTGTGCAGAGCTCGAACGATTGCTTTGTTTGTGGCATTTGACGGAGCTTGGCTGTTACGGAAAATTGCAAATAGAAACTGTACGGAATTACGAGATGCTCCCCAGTTGGCCATCATTTATGGATGCCAAAGTGCTGGCATCGGTTTATCTTTTCGTTTGCTGGCTGTCTGGCTTGTCTGCGGTTGCAGCTGAATCTTCAACTTGTTGTGGCATTAACGAAGTCGTTGATCTTGCTGCATGTGTTGGCAGTTTGGCTCTAATTGAAATATTTTTATTGCCATTTGGCCCGGCCCTCGCCGGTCGGTGGTGCCATTAATATTCATTAGTCGCAGAGCCAAATGCATTAGCAGATTGCAGCAAAACAGTCTGATAAATATGTACAAGCAGCTGCTGCTGTGCTGGGAGCAATGTGCTAATGCTTTAAACTTGTCCCAGAACAAAGCGTTTTATTTGCGGAAGTCATTAAGTGGTTGGGACGAGGCTACAATGTCTTGGCTCAAATTGCTGGCTCTCCGAAACTCTCTGATTGCGGTTGTGCAGTGAAACCTTTTTGTTACCCCATTTTTCGGCATGCCCTGCGCACAGTATTACGTATACGCCTACGGAGCAGATGCGACTGCGTCTTGCTCTTGTACTTGTTCTTGTTCTTGGCTCGGTCCTGCGGCCAGGAAATGAAGTTGAAGTCGCCAGCATTACCGCAAAAAGACGACGTTGCAAGTTGCAAGTGAATTTGGCTTCCGGCTTAATTTAGCCAACGTTTGCTTCTTTATTTTTGACAGCCATCAGCGGCGGTTTTGTTCTCGTTTTCGGATTCCCTTTGGCATCGTCTGTTGTATGCAAATTTCGGCTACAAGTCAGGACATCAGCTGTAATTCGGCACGGGGGGGTGTCTTTTTGTAAAATATAATGGAATAGCAATTCTCCAGCGGAAGTTTGTCTGCTAATGCAAAGTTTTGAAAATGGTTTTTCAAAGGGAAACTGCCAAAGGTCTGGACAGGACATGAATATTTATTTCAGTAGAAACCATCCTTTCGTTGGCTTAGATACACTAAGATACATTTTGACAATAAGTGCAATTATTTTGGAAGCTTTCAAACTAAAGCAATATGTAAAAATGTAAATATGTTAAATAAAAACTAAGAATCTTTTATTAACTATTAATGTCTTGCTGTTGAAATCAACCCCCAATTTCGCAGTTATGTCCATCGGGAGGAGACTTTAATTAACCTGACCAAATATTCAATTAAGCACCTCCATGTACGTAAAAGCTATCCACCCTCCAAAACAAACGACCCCGGTCGGCAATTAAATGCTGCCTGGCTGCCGGCTAACAATGCCATGATGATGTGGCCCCACAAAACCCACCCAGCGGAACTCATAGTTTGTGGGCCGCGATATGCCCGACGTATTGGTTGCTCATACATATTGGCGATGTGCAGTCATTTGTTCATTAGCGCAGCGCATAAAACTCATCAAGGGCAATTAACATTAACGCAGGCAATCAGCGAGTTGGTCCAGCTCTCGGTTCGTCCTTGTCGGCGCCTTGAGCGCCTTGTTCGCCACTGGGGGTGTGGATTTGGGGTGCCAACTGACTACTCCCAGGACATTAATTATCTTATTGCCCTATATACCATTCATCCGCGTCGAGGCTGAAGTGGCAATATTTGAAAGTCTATTAAAAGCTCAGCGCTGGCAATCAATGCTGGCCCATCTGCTTTTGCCCGTGTGCACATATCCTGTGCCGCAGGACGAGGCCAAATTATTGAACATGATATTGAATATGAAGCCGGGCGTGGCTTCGAGCGGCGATTGTTCAGCGTTACGGGCCGAAATCAAAGCCACAAAAGAAATCCCAGTTTGCATATTAACAGCAGCTGGTGCCTGGCCAAAAATTGAATAGAAGGTGGGTTTGGTTGGCCTGTTGGCGGGGGCGGGGCTCGGTATGGTTCGGTTCGGGAATATAGTCCTGCACATCCTTTGTCAAGCTGAAAATGCAAATTGCCATGACATGCCCTTAACCATTTACCACACGGCGCCCGGCCATCGAGTTCTATTTTTTTGTACCCCCGGCCGTTTTCTTCTCCTGGCTTTCTGTACTCGCTCGTTGGCCACTTCAGGCCTGGCTGGCATAAAGCAAAACGCAAAAAGAAAGCAGCAGTGGACATGCAAAGCCATTGGGAAAGTGCACTTTGGAACGGATCATGTGGATACCCTTTGGCTATACTGCCTAACGAATCAGCAATAATATTATATAAATAAGTGATAAAATTCCTTGTTGTGCTAAAAGATATATTATTATTACAATCAAAATCTGTTTTTTTGTTTTCTTTCAATCCGTATGTTTTGTTTAATTTGGTATTGATAACAATTCATTCATTCAGTTTCTATAGAAAACACTTTCGAATGTTTCCACAATATCTTAATATTTATTATTATTTACTTAAACTTATTTAAGTGCTTAAGAAGCTAGGACAAAGGTTTATTTTAGTCTGCCCAAAGAACGGGAATACCTTCATATATATTTATACTTCCTTGAAAACATTCTAAGTAATTAAAATATTGTTTATGTTACATCGATCAAGCTTATGCTACTCTGCAGTGTCTACAAGGTATGCAGAAAGTTTTCAAGCAAAGAAAACGCTCTTTGCAAAAAACATGAGCCAATTCTCCCGAGCTTTTTGACCATACGTCTGCGGTTAAGTTTGCCCCAGCCAGGACCATTCAACCCATCCTTTGAAGGCAGTGGATCCGTCGTCTCACCGCCCTCCCGCCATAAGAAAACCACTCTGGGGATGGACGAGGAGAAGTGGAAAAAAAAGGCAGACCGCACAAATTGCGGGACGTCGCCGGCAACGCTGCGTGAACCCATGCAAATTTCTCCCCCAGGTAACCTTTGTGCTTTGATTGATTGATGGACAGCCGGAGAGCGGAGTCGCCGTGGTCATCGTTTCGCCAGCTTTCTCCTTGGCCGAGAAACTCCAATATTGAATTTAATTTGTAGACACGCGTAGTCGAGGGCTGCGTATGCAAATTCAATTTTTTCCTTCCTCAAATTGAAAACAAAGGTGCACTACTGGGGCACGGCTTCGGTTTTGATTGCGGGCATTAACAACTTTTGACATTGTTTTACATTTCTGGGGAAATCAAAAGGAAAAGGTAGGTCGTTCCAGCCCCACTGAGACCCGAAATCAATCCCCAATCCCCAAACCCTTGCCGGATTCAATCAAAGTGTCAGTTTTAAATTTGGGGAAAGTGCGGACACCGCTTTCCTGGCCAGCCGAAATTTATTGTCAAAATTAATTAAAAATTGTAATGAGTTCTGTTTTGCGGAACGCACCAAATCCAATCCGATCCGTCTCGACTTAAGCACATTGACGGCGATTAATTTGTTTTGGCATTTTGCAATTTGATTTAAAATTAAGCCAAACGAACACCGGCGTGAATTTCAATTAGTTCCGCATTTCGGTTTTCTGTTTGTCGGACATCGGTCTTGGCCATTTTATGCCAATTTGATTGGCCTGTCAGCGGACCAGAATTTAGCGTTTCAAACTGGCTATCAGTGATTTTATTTATCACTCGCATTTAAATCGCTTCGGCCCGGCTGTCCAAATCGATTAAAGGCCAAATTGCGCAAAAAAGTGTGACGCAAATCAATGGCTAAATATTGCAAAATATTTTCAGTGCAAAGTGCCAAAATAAGTGCGACTGCAGTTGACCTGTCACATCATGGCCGAAATGAAAAGCCATTTACACGCTTGTTCACTTGTTCACTTGTCCCAGTTTCCCTCTCGAAGAGCTCACTTGATATGCAATACATTTTTTTCTGAATTCGGTATTCTGTATTCTGTATTTTCACCGGACTCCTGCAGGACAAGTGCAGAATCGTGTTAAGTTAGAGGGCAGTGCGGAATGCCTATAAAACAAAAACAACTTCATCTGGCTGTACATATGCATATGAGCCGAAATATGAATTCCGGCATGGGTACATGGCATATGAAAATGTACAATTTCGAGCTCCCGGGGAGAAAGTGCGGCAGTGCATTGACAGTGCAAGAAAAGGGAATTGTTTTCGGAATGACAATTTACAGATTTCTCTCATATGCCGGAGAAAGTACTCACTGCATTGTTGCCCAGAAACTTGGAATTTGAATTTCATGTGGGCGGGCATCCAAATCGTTGCCTATATATGCATTGATGGCCCTGGCATTGTGCAATTTAAAGACCCCTCTCACAAACGAAAGAATGTCTGTTTTCTCCTGCAAAATTCGTTTTTTTTTTTTTTGCAACTAGTTGGAAATGCTTTGAGTAGGAAAATATACATAACTAACTTTCACCCCTTAAAGGTGATTTGTGTGCCCTCAATTTGAGCAAGTCTTTCTGCTGATGGTCGCCATTTAACACGGGCACTCTGCTTAAATTACTGGAGCCCCCTCGACGGGATTTTAATTCGGTCAATTATTTCAAGTATTTGACGATTAGCTAACCGCGTGTATTGAGCAAAGTTTTTCAATTAATTTCCGCCCACAATGTCTGTGAGGTAAATTCCCAGGAAATCGAAGCTCGGCAAAGAGCAATTGCGGTGGCGATTTGACAAATTGTCCAGGTGAGAGCCCTTTTGTTTTGTCCATGGGGTCTTTCGATTCGGGGTGTAGTAAATTCGCCCTTCTACAGGCCATTTTCATCCATTCTCGGCCCGGTACCAATTCATTTTATTTGTAATTTCGCCCAACGATTGCGGTCACTGCCTGCAGGTGATAAATGGCAAAGGAATCATGAAATAATGGACCAACATTCG